CATCAGCTTTTTAGAATACACCCCCTTTCATGTCTTCCAAATCACCGTCATTTGAAAAGCATAATTTACACCCTCGTCCCACTTTTATGTGATGATCATATTTATTTACTATTACATACCTCTGGTGCTATCATCATTCATCAATCACCTTAGACTCTGGAGATTTCTGTGCCTTTCTTCAACAAAACAACGATTTCAACACTCGATCAACCCGCACCTCACCGTCGCCTTATGCTCAAATAAAATATAGCACTTTAATGCTAATCGGCTTTTATTTACTTTACACCACACATCAACTGCATCAACCAGATGACATTCTGCTAGAATGTCACCAGAATGAAATTACTTACACAGAGAAACACTAAAGCACGTATGTATTTCTAGAGCCGTCCTCATTCATGAACAGGAAGTTAACTCGAAATGTTGTCCCCCTCACAGCCCTCACTATGCACGCCTGTCAGATTTGCAATGCAGTCTTCATCTGTCTTGATATCTACCAGAAGCACCGCAAAGAACATGCCAAGACGGAAAATGTCGATCTGCTTGCCTGCAGCTATTGCCCCTATGCCACTGACAACCCCTTTCACTACAACTGGCATTCAATGTCCCATGCTAGCGACCACCCACATCAGTGCGACTTCTGTAGACAAAAGGACAAAAACGGTTCAGGTGCAGGCAATGAAAATGATCTTAATGACCCTATGCGACCTGGACGAATTTCGGAAAGCTTTGTTACCTTTGGGAAACGGTAGGTTTTTGAAAGTATACATTTGACTTGTAAACTAATGAGAAATGTTCCTCAGATCCATCGCGACGCAATCCTCTTCTGATGATCTCAACTCACCACCTCCACCTCACCAGCTGCACATTCCACCAAAGACGATAGAGAATCGCGGTAACATCTACCAGAATCTCGAACATATCGAGAATAATCAATTGGACGATAATGAGTTCGAAGAAAACAATGGAGATGCCAGAAGTGTTGCTGATGATGTCGATGAACCGCCAAATGCTGAAGAAGAAGACAACGATGATGACAATGAGACAGAAGAGGAAGATGAAGACAAATATTCGTCAATAAATGAATGTGATATCGTCAATGGTGGCAGTGCTAACTATCAAGAAAATGAAGATCTTATTCAACAACAACAACAGCAACAACAGCAGCAGCAGAATCAACAGTACGAACAACAGCAAATCTATTACGGCGATTCAAACCAAATGAATGGCGACTATGAGCAGGACGACGACGAGGACGATGGTACAGTCGAAGATGAAGAAGCACAGGAAATGATTCAACAGGAGGAGCAGCAGCAACAGCAGGAGTATCAAGATTATGGAAATAATGAGGAGTATGCAAATGAAGACGAAGAAGATGAAGAGGAAGAAGAGGAGGAGGAAGAGGAAGATGATGACGAAAACACCTACGACAATGCAGACCAAAGTGGTGACGGTGTAGTGGAGATGAACAACGGCATTGATAGGAAAAGCGGCGACGTGTATGATTTCAATTCGGATGAGGAAGCGCCGACGCCGCAATTTCAACAGATTCAGCAGCAGCAGCAGCAACAACCTCAGCAGGCGACCCTTCTCACCAATGGAACGCCCATGGCCGTGCCGATGGCTGCCCAGCTTCAGCCTCATCCTACCGAGCTTCACCCGGCCATCGTCACTGCGCCGAACGGAAGTACGCACCTCCAGCTGCAGCCAGCAGCCTTTGTGCAGCACCCTCACCACCCTCACGAACATCAGACGGGTATGCCGCCACTGCAGCCGGCACCACCACTTGCGCCACCGCCTCATCACCTCCAGCAGCAGCAGCAGCATCCTCCTCCTGCAGCTCTTCAGACGAACCAGGCGACCTTTCAGCTGGCACCCCATCATCTCACCACTCAGCATCCTCACCAGCACCATCACCCCACTTTTATAACGCTTCCAAATGGCGCGGCCGGTTTCGCAGTGCCAGCACAGTGCCAGCCGGCTGGAAATTACTTTCAACTGGACCCTTCAGCGGCCAATGGCCAAATTCGCTTTGTCAGTATTCCGGCGACGTTCAATCCAGCACAACCACTCCACCAGCAGCCACAGCCGCAACAGCAACATCAACCGCATCCGCAGCAGCAGCAGCATATGCCTCCGATTCATCATCACCAGCATCATCAGCCAACTGCAATTCAAGTGCCACAGCCCCTGCAAGCAGCCCAAACTCAATCGATGCAGCCTGCTCCTATGCAGCAGCAAACACTATCAAATGTCCCGCAAACGCAGCAGCCAGCGCACCAGGGCGGCCAGAGTAACGCCACTGCGCCTAGAAAGCGGTCGAAGAAGAGCGCCAGTGAACAACACCTTCCCCTAGAGCTTAATGGCACTCCGACGACCAATGGTGATATCATTACCAGCATCAACCAGCCTTTTGTGCCCACCAAAGGCAAGGGAAAGGGCAATCGCAAGCCGAGGATCAACTTTATTTCCGTCATCAATGGCATCACAGT